TGCATCCGGCAGGGGAACCTCCCCAGAAGTGGCTGCATTTCAGCAGCATGCAAAGGAAGGGCTGGCTCTGTTGCATGCTTTGGGGTGCTCAGTGCTGGATGTGCATGTGTGGGTGCTGAGGACAACAATTGCTGCTGACCCCCCCTCTCTGCCGCAGATGTCTCAGGAACCACAGTGGCTGAGCCACCCCACCGCCCTGCTTATCCCCAAGGCCCGGGGAGGGCGAGCACAGCATGCCGTGTACCTGCTCCTGGCTCTGTGCGCTGCAGTGCTGTACCTCGCCGGGGAGCCCCTTGTGCCCAGCGCCCGCAGCCTCATCTCCCACTTCATGGCCCTGCAGATCGGGGTGCTGCTCAAGGGCACCTGCTATCTGGCTGAGGAGATCTTCCACCTCCAATCCAGGTGAGCCAGCATGGGGGTGGCCGTCTCCCGGGCTCCTGGGGCCACCCTGGGGCCACGGGTATAGCAGCCTCTGGGTGTTCGGAGGGATCTGCTCCTTGTTTCTACCCCCACGCGTGCCCTCTGGGGCAATGCTCTGCTGTGCCCCTGCAGCACACACTGCTCTTCATCAGCCTTGTGTCTTTCTCAGCTCCTCCTCCTCCTCTCCCTTCTCCTGCCTGCCCAGCTCCCCCGTATGTCTATGGACCTCTCCCTCTCCTCTCTCTGGTAGCTCCCTAGTGTGACCTTCACCTGGGGAGCAGACCTCAGCCCCCAGCCTTCCCCCACCACCCAGTGCCAGAGGGCAAGGGCTGTTGGAGATAATCTCCCCTTGCTGCCTAGGGCAACATTGCATCTGCTCCCCTCTGAGACCCATGGGTGCTGCAAGAGCCCTGTCGTGGTTTAACCCCAGCTAGCAACAAAGCATCACGCAGCCGCTCGCTCGCCCCCCCCCTTGGTGGGATGGGGAGAGAATAGGAAGGGTAAAAGGGACAAAACTCGTGAGTTGAGATAAGAAGAGTTTAATAATTGAAGTAAAATAAAAATAGAACAGCTAAATAGGTAAAGCAAAAGCTGCACACGCAAACAAAGCAAAACAAGGAATTAATTCGCCACTTCCCATGCGCA